CCATCGCCGTCACACCTGCCCTCTCGCCCTTCTCTCTCTAACTGTTTCTCTTGCATTATTCACCACCCCTCTCTCTCTCCTACTCTCGCCCCCCTCTCTCTCTCGTCATCAGCTCTCTCGCGCGAGAGTTATTAAAATGCAGCATGTCCTCGGTCGTGCCTGTGTGTCCACGTATCCACACTCATCTATAACTATACAACCCTTGTGTGTTGTGCCTGATTGAAACATATTGCATACCCACCTCTATCCCAGTACCACCCCCTGAACTGGATCAACGAAAAGTTTATACGTATATAAAAATATGTATATTATAGTATTTCACAAAAGCACATGAAAATCAACCCCGCGATGGATACAGGCACGTTTTCATCCCTTTGCTGAATGTCGAGAGACACCCTTAACAATTCCCATCTAATTGACAAGCCTTTGATTAATCCACGATATCCTTAGAACAAATTGGCCAGCCCTCCTCAGCTCGTGATCAAATTTATATGCATTGAGTGCTTTCAACCCTCACGCGAATCCTTCGAGTCTTTCGTCTGTCACGTGAATAACGCCCGGTACACGCTATACGCTAGTTTCAACCCAGCATGCACCACTCGGCCAGATATTTATAAGTGCAGCGGGCTTGCACAACGATTAAGCACCCCGAGAGCGTTTCGTGGCACGTATATGTAGGTACTTTGCCAACATGCGAGAACTTTGCCCGGTCTTAGAGAGGTTGGTTCTACCGTTCAACCTCGCAACCCATCCGGATGGACGTACTTGGGGCTCCGTCGAACACTATACGTTGCATCTACCCCTGTCCTCCTCACCTCCTCTCCTAACCGTCGACTGCTACTAAACACTCGCGCAGGTGTCGGCTCATGGGATATTACGAAACTTTGGAAAATCTCGCGGTAAGCGACGACCTATGTAACTGCACCTTATGTAACTTATCTAACTTATGTATATCGTAGATATACAGGAGGTAGGTGCATAAATTGTATATATGAAATGTTCTTTTTCTTGCTTCCGTACTATATAACATTTCTCTACCGATATATATATATATATATATATATATATATATATATATAGTCTGGTTTAAAAATAAACAATTGACTGGACCCAAGACCTTCATCCTGAATACAATGGGCACTGAATTATTCACAGATCGAGAATCTACCTGTAAATTATAGATTCTGCGGGCGTCTACAGCTACTCCTTCGAGGCAGATAAGGGATGCAGCCTTGAATTGATAATGAGTAGGATAGAGTCTTAGAAGAATTGGTCTATGCAGAATTGCAAATACGTAAATAATAAATTATCGCGGCCTCGACTATACCACCGTTACCGTCCGCATCGATAATTCTTTTTCTTTCGTTACGACAATATCATGACTCGACAGTGAAGTGGGAATAAAAAATCGTAATATTTAAGTTTTCTTCAATTTTTCGTCCATCAGCCAACGCGCAATCGACATCTCACTCAGCACTGTTTCTGCCACGTGTGCACGAGTCTCCCTAGCCCAGTTATTTCTTTAAGGGAGAATTTTTAGTTATTATGGAACCGCGATTCTTGTCCGTTGCTCCAGTGAAATATTTAAGCCGGTCTGCAGCCTCGGGGTGATCTCTGATGAGAAACTACCCTTCCTGCTACCCCGAGAGTCTGCTATGAGTTAGAAGCGCCTCGGACCCGTAGATGGGCTATTCAGAGTTTCGCCTGTACTTTGCCCCATGGACCATCGTGCTCGCGCGTGCGTCAACAGCCCGAGTCTCCATTCGAGAAGATGCCCTTTCCTATCTGTTTATTAAACTTTCAACCCCCAACCCTTATTTTTTGTTCGAGCACCAAATAAATTGGGGTACGAGAAAAAAAAAAAGAGAGGGGATGGCAATATCTGTGGGTTAATGATGAAAAGAGCTTTCCCGATCGATACTTCTAATGGGCTATCGACCACGGACTGATAACTACCCTTAGTTCTGTGATCAACCCCTTCGTCTGAAATATCTACCAGAACTCTGTTGCGCGACTCGTTACACGAGATAAATGCAGGGGGTGGATACTTCGTTCTACCGACAGATCATTCAGGAACTTAATGACAGTCATTGTCAGAAATTGGCCCCTGTCCTTGTAAAGAAGGTTAATTGTCAGATCGTAATTCTAAGGCGAATCCCTGCTAAAAGGTCAGAGGTTTAAGTTTTCTGTACCTATCCTTCTTAGCGCCAGGCGTAAGTCCGTAAGCGAAGGAAACGCTATAAAGAATAAGAAAAGGACCAATTCGCGACTATAGAAGACGAGCTGGAGCTTAGCTCAGAATTTATGACTCAGACTTTATTTTCCTGGCATATATCAGTATTTTATACCCGCCCCTACCTTTCGTTCTTACTAGATGCAAGGGGGTGGTAGATAGGTAGGCAGTACCGCACCCTGGCGGAAATGTAACGTGCAAATTGAACCATGAATCAAGAAATTGAAACCAAACGCAAATTGAAACCGTGAATCAGCAGGTATGACATACATATACATATAGTATATACACATAGTAACTATATAGAAGCTATTGGTACCCCTGATATATCGTGCCTCGAAAGTGAACGAACTTGAATATTTCGAAGGAATTTTAGGTGAGGCTGAAAAAAAAAAGGAGAAGTGGATTGAAAGAGAAGGAAAAGAGAATAGGATGAAGCGATGAGACTTGCCAAGTGGATTCTCGGCGTTACGAGCAAAATCAAGAATAATCTTATCTGATAAGAGAAAATTTTGAGGAACTGAATTTCTCATATTTTTTTTTCTCGAAAAAGTATAGAATAATTCACATGTGTAGACCTGTACATATATATATTTTCTGTTTCTGCGAATGAAAAATTGTCTCCGGTCCTATGATAATATTCGAATAACTAATAAATTGACAGTGACAGGAAACTTACCGTGATGGATGTAGCAGGACTGTCAGTACCACCAGGAGCGGCAGTACTCCAGGCCACATTGCGGCGGCCTGAAAGCAAACATAATCACGTTTATACGGGGGAGTTTGCGAGTGGCATAGCCGGGGATATATCCCGGGTGGCTAGAACATTCACGAGCCCGAACCCGACCCCGATTTATCCCCGTACCGCGTCATTCGACTTCAAAGAGGCAAAAGCCTCTCGGCACTTGGCGAGGCAAGAAAACCGCAGGAAAACTAGAGGCGGACTAAAACCACGTCCGAATTCCAATAACGAGAATCACGTAATTTCCACTTGATATTTACCGACGTTACATAGCGAGTAAAAACCATTCGCGAGTTGATTTTTTTTTTGTTCAAGGGTGCCTCAAGCTCCTCTTCCGTTCCTCCGCCATCTTTGTGTTGCGCAATCGACTTTTTCTTTCCCTTATAACGCTTCGCCCTATAACTCGTCAACCGTCTTACGTCCAATGTCCTGTGACTTCAAAGTACGCTTGCCACCATCGGCACTAACCACCCCTGCTTAACGGACAGAGCAAAACCACAGGAAACTCTCGGGACTCTGCGGCCTTCCGCTTCGACGGCTTAGCGCTGCTCGCCAAAACACATTTCAATGGTGAAAATTATGCAAAACTTTGGGGCTAAAATACGTGAAAGCAATGCCACCCCTATTTCGAGCCGGGAGAAAGTTTTCACGTGACAAGAGTTAGGGGGTGCTAACCGTTTCCGTAACGTGAGTTGGCTTTACTTGCTTGTTTCGTTTTTAGTATTCCTTTTCTTTTTCTTTTTTTTCCGTCACCCCCTTGAAACCACCTGTCTTTTATTTTCCCATAAACCTCTCGTCGGGTTCGACCTACACGAAGGAACCCTTTTGCAAATTCTATATACTCGTAAACCACCCCGACAGTAAGACGTGGGGTTGGCGCTCTGGCCTTTCTACCCTTGAAACTGCTTTTGGTAGCAAGCGAGGTATAACGTTGGTACCCCTGGCTCACTGGGGCTGCTAAGGCAGTCGGGGGCGTGTTCCCGTTGTAGGCGAGAAAAAAGCGGCATAACAAAATATTCGATGAATGCATAAAAAATGAGGGGTTAAAGCCGACACAGTGCTACCAACAGGGGTTGGTAGCAAGGTACCCACGTTTATACCCCCGAAAGGGGAGGACAAATTGAAATAAAATTCCAAAGGTTGTTGCGTCCACGGGCACTATAGTCCTACGACCTCCTCCGACCACATCGTATCCCTTAACCACCCTAATGATATATACAGGGCTATAAGCGCCCAAGGGGGTTGGAAAATATTGTGGGTGGTACCAGAAGGATAACAACGCAATTAGGCCTCTGGAAGCCACCGAAGGGTCCTTTTTTTCCCTCGTTTCCCGAGTTCCCTCGACTCGTTAGTGCGTTGCCAGTCAAGAAATCAACTGGTTTCGTCTACACCCGAAATTGACACCCCGTCCAAGATAATTTTCGAAATCAAACCTAACCTAATCTAACCTAACCATAACCCCTGTCCAAAGGCCACGTGTATCGAATGATTACCAATAAACGCCAATTTCTCAATTTCACGCCTTCGCTACCATATGCATTCCCCTTTATTTACTTGCTTTATCTATACACGTATATATTCAAATATCCAATCAGCCGCTCCAGTACAATATTGCGCAACGGCACGTCGCCTCCTTGGACCTTATTCAGCCAAACTGATATCACCGAATGAAAATAATTTGAAAAAAAATATGATACAACCGATCAGCATTTGCGGATAATCAAGTAGAAGGGTCATTCTTAACAAGAAAAGAAAATGAAGGATAAAAAAGGGACCGATACGTGTTACCAGTAAACCGTCCCTACTCCCCCCTCCTTTAATCGTCTTCTCTTATCCAGTTTCGCGAGTCACGCGGAAAATGCTTTCGTCCGTATAACGTCTGTAATTAACGATTCTTTTCCCCTCAAGGTTTTCCATTAATTCGGGCTCCTTTACGTCACGTGCCGTTCCACCGTCTCGACGAATCCATCCCGGACTATTTTTATTTTTCGCCACTCTATTTCGTTCCCGTATACACATTCCAGAGAGTATGTATATATATACACATACTTTCTTAACTGACCAAAAATACAATTTCCGCAGCGCCCTCGTTTTTTTCCGCTTGCAACCTTTTTTTTACGTGGTTGTAGCCTCTGACTCCTATGACGCATTAAATTAACGATCCTCTTTCTACTGCAGTTCGAGGAGGTTGCGTTAATTGAGTTTGGCATCGAACCGCCTGGCTGAATGGATTTTATCGTTGTGACATCACTGACGTCAGTTTCATACAATTAAGCACAAATTGCACGCTTTACTTCGCTTTCCCCTACAAACTCTAACGGCCATCGGGTTAACTCCCTTAGGCATGATTATAACACGATGCTGGTATTTATGGGAGACTGAACATCTACGGGCAACTTGCAATTGTCGCTGGGCTTGTATATCACTGTATTCTGTAACCTGCATTACGTCACTACAGTCTGTTTCACTCGCATCTAGTCGTAATTGAATCCTCGTTTCACTCGGAGCTGAGGACTCGTGATGGGGGAGAGGGAGGGATGTGGTAATTTTGATAAGTTATATATGAATACTGGATATGCTAAACTCATGTTGTGATAATTAATTGATATCGTTCTCGCATTGACACTGTGGCTACAGTGTAGCACGTGTTTGTTGTTTTCATTGATAATAATATATATTGTTTCTCACCCTATAATTTACTATGGCAGAATATTGTCAACTCCGACGTGTTATGACGGACACTCGACGGCTTAGACTGTCTTTTATGCTTCTTGTATGCCGACTGACACTAAGTAGCATAGCAGCCAAGAAGCTAGGTAGCCAAGAACTGTTTCGTAGCGCCGACTAAAAACTGTTCTGTTGATTGTCATTTCTGACAACGATATTTGAAGAACGTGGCTAAAGGAATTTCTTTTATTACAAATACAACTATGACGGACGACAGGTTTTACGTGATTTTGTAGAAATTGAAAAAGAAAATTTTTAATTATTTTTCAATGCAGAAATATAATGTTTCGTATTTCCCGCTAATTTTTCACGTACCTGAATTAAGTCTGTCAAGTATCGCGATGAGCATATATGATGCTGCGTATGACTGGTAAACTTGAACAAACTGTGAATATTTAAAAAAAAGTCATTCTCGGTTAATCCGTACTTTATATATACTTGATATCCATAAAAAGTATTGTCGCACTTGTAGACACTGCTTGCTGAGTTAAGATTAGCTTACATACGCGAAATTTCTTTGACGCGTAGCTAGTATCCACTTATGTAGAAAAGCTGTTTGCATTATTCAGCAGTGTTAAGAATTACGTACTTAACCACCAAACGACCCCGTAGCTGCAATGGGGGCGACTAGAGCGTCCGGCATTAATAATATACCGGCTAATACCAACCGAGTAAAATAAGATTCCTAGTCAAAGATAAATACCGATGAAATATTTAATTAGTTGAAAATCGTATTTAGACGTTCTTGGAGGTTGACCAAGATGACAAGGAGATACTGAATGATCAGACTGAAAACTGATGTATACAATTTATGTAACGTGCATGTATTTACATAAAAAAAAAAAGCGGTGTCCGCTCCATATGGTTGGTAGCCAAAACAAGCTTCGCGAACACTGGGCATTCACTGTAGACAATAGCTGCACTATCTATCAGCAGCTGCTCATCGGCCAAGAATTTCGTTATGATTCCCAACCACCAATTTCCCAGAGGTTGCGCAACATCTAGATTTTGAATACCGTTGCATGATAATTTTCCTACTGACTTTCGAAGCCCGGACGTCGTCCCTGTGTCGTTTGAGGTTAGTGCCAGCGCGTTCTGGCGCTTTACGACGTCTGACTTGTTAAAGTGGCCTTGCGTCGTCTCGAAATGACGCCGAGCTTTCGCGGCGCATAAAATCCAGTGGAGCTCAGAGACAGGTATGCGCCTGATATACATGTCGGAATGTTCACTAGAAACCAAGAGACCTTCTTGTTTATTTTTAAGGTTAGGAAGTAATTCATTCAAATTTTCTATTACACTTACGCCTATTAAAATACAGACTATACACTGGGATCGGCTGAGAGTGAATATTACCGAAGAATTTTTAACCGTTATTCATTCAATATGAACGGCCGTTATTACTCTTGAAATAATGAACACGTAACCTTTAAAATTCTTGTATCCATGACGGACAATTCTCTACTCTGCTTTACATCAAGACACTGTTGTATTACGTAACTGTGCTTTCTCCGTCTCCACTTACGCGTAACGTGCTTATATTATACATCGTATGTATACATTGTACACGTATCACTCACGCGGTAAGATTTTGATCCCGTTTTTTCAAATTTTTTTTTTTTTTTCGTTACACGATCCTCATCTTTATTCAAATACGTTTTTCATGATCCTTTAGCTCGCATTCGTGTGTATATGACGTACGTACTCTGTATGTATAATATATATGTTGCTGACTGACGTCACGCCTTTGGATCAAAAAGAATTTTTAATCAGCCTTAATACCTCATATCGTATTTAGCGTCCATTGAACATTTTCAATAATGGCTGCCGCTCTGGCAAATTATGTTACTGATATAGTATTTTAGCATTTGCATATATCGATATGGATTCCATATGGAATGTCATATATCATTTAACGTACGGTGGTTTTGCTAATTTTTTTGAAAATTTCATTAATCATTATATGTACATTACTATAGTCTTCGGCTATTAGTCAATACTGTATAGGGAATATTCATAGGCATAGATTTCTTTTTACCATGATATATTCGTTCGCCTTTAAAAGTTACGTGTATATGATTTCGTGTAATCAAATAATCATACAAATATATAGTCTACTAAGGATTAGCCTCTCTTGATTGCAAGCTTACCGAACGTCACGCAATACAATATTTATACCTTATCAATTTTTTTACACTCTCTGAGTTTTGACGTAGTTTTTAGTTTACTTTTACCAATTAGCCCTATAATCTCGTCTCCTTAAGCCGCATCTCCAGCTTGA